CACTGATTCCCCGCATGCAAATCGTAAATTTGCTAAGTATGTTTACATGTATTTGATAACAATGTTCTGAAAATGTTATGAATTTGATGTTATTAAATGAATCTTATGAAATGTTATCAGTTGAATGCTATGAAGTGATCACTGCTAATACAAATCAATGCTGTAAATACGTGTATTGTCATTTGTTTTATCCAAGATGGCGGATACATATACATGTACAAACATATACAACGAACAACGGATATAATGAACTGATTTCTCTGGTCCCTTGTAGTTCGTTTTATCCATGTTCTACTGTACTCGGAAGTTCATGCTCAGCTGTGTGCGTTCTGTTTTAAATTCATTTGATGTTTGCTATTCAATACATATTTATTGAAAGAACAAACCCTACTCTTTGCCTGGAGGACGCACTTTAGGTTCTCCCCTATTTCATTTACATTACAAAATGTTCATGCAAAGAAAATTTGCATCTCCTCTCTAGGCCTTTTTTAATACTTGTATTCAATGGTGTATGTCAACTTTCCGTTATAAGTAGAAGTGTACACCCTGCTCCCTGTGGGTATTTTTGTACAATAAATCTTCTTCTAATGTATAAAATATTATTGAATAGTTGCAAATTTTAGTGTAACTGTAAATCACTCCAATTCAACATTAAACCATCAGTTCAACATTATACTCATTAATTCATCAACCATGTAATAATAAATAATAAAACCACTCATTCAACTTGCTGAAAACACAGGCTACACAGAATGGTAAAGAATTCTTCAAATGACACATCTGGAAGCAAGGTCGTAGCGCTAATGAGAAAAGTCAAGGAATGGGGTCAAGAAAGGTTGTATGGTAAGGCCTGTTGGCTGAATTTATTTTGACACTTTACAACAAATACAAGTGATAGCTTATCGGGGCAAAATGCTGAGGAGACTGGGTTATACGTAGGACTGAGTTGCAAACAGGTCGATGTTTGGTTGCCCGAACTTCCGAACCAATAATTGGAATGCTTCTGTGTGAAGTTTCCACTCGGTGGGTGCTACCCTGTCTGGGCGTGATAGAGCATCGGCCAGAATGTTTCGACATCCGGGGATGTGCTGAACTATGAACTGTAGTTGCAGCCGATCCACTAGATTGAAAAACCTGAATGTCTGTTGAAGTAGCGAGTTGGAGTGTGTTGTTCCCTGATTGCGCAGGCACCACACCACAGTGCTGTTGTCTGTGGATATGGAGAGTTGGGTTGATTGTAGTTGATTCTGCCAATGGGATATGGCTAGAATTACGGCTTCCAACTCCAGATTGTTTATGTACCATTTCCGATGAGCGCTTGACCATAGCCCTGAGACTGTCTGGTCTTGTAGGTGAGCACCCCACCCCTGAAGGGAGGCGTCTGCGAATAGGTGTAGATTTCGGGGACAACCCTGATAAAAAGACTCCTCCTAAGACATTAGACTCTATCGTCCACCAACGGAGATAAGGTCTAAAATGCATTGGTAGCATGATGGCCCTGAGTGGATCCTGACTCCTAATGTAGGGATTCAGGAATTGTTGTATTGGGCGTAACTGTAATCGGCCTCTGTTGGTTAGGTCCTGGGCTGAGGTGAGTAACCCTAGCAACACTTGCCATTGGTGAAGTGTGCGTGGTTGACAAAGAGCAGGTGACAGGAGGCGTAAAATCTTGTGCCATCTGTCCCTGGGGACCGACAGGTTCTGATCTGTTTGAAATAGTCCTCCTATGAACTGGAGTCCAAATGATGGAGTTAACTCCGATTTCGCCTCGTTGACAATCCAACCCAGTTGATATAGTAGCCTTCTGGTGAATTCCCGGTGGCATACTAACGTCGGTGTATGTTGATGACACAGGACACAGTCGTCCATGTACGACTGGAACCAAATGTTCCTCAGGTGTAGAAACACAGTTATGGGCTTCATTATTCGTGTAAATAGCCACGGGGCCACTGAAATGCCAAATGGGAGTACTGCCCACTGGTAGTGGACCCCATTGAACTGGAACCTGAGGAATCTGCGATCTTTGGGATGGATCGGTAAGTGCAGATATGCATCCTGTAGATTGAGACTGATCAAGGAATCGAACGCTTTTATGCTGGTTCTGAGTAGTCTCAATGTAATGAGGCGGAAATAGGGTGGACGCTTCAGATACAGCTCGTTGAAAACAGAGATTGTGTATCATTCTCATCTTGTCTGAGCCCTTCTTGGGTAGCAGGAAGATGTGAGAATAAAATCCCGGAGTTAGCGCTGGGGTGTGTATAATCTCTACGGCTCTTTTCTCCAATAGTAAGTCTATGTTGGCCTTTAAAAGGATATGTTGCTTCCTTGGATAATTACCCGGAATGGGAGCCGTGGTCAACGGAGGAAAAACCTCTATGTCTAGTTGGTAACCGTGGCGTAGAATGTTGACAACATAATCGTCCCTGAGGATGCTCCAGTTCTTCCAAAACCGATTCAGTCTCCCGCCTACGGGGGTATCGACAATTGGGACGACTGGGGGTAGGAGATCCCTGTCGTGACTGTCTAACATTTCAATGTTTGCCCCTCCTATCACCTCCCTTACTGTGGTATTTACCACGTCGGGGTTTTCCTCTGCCACGCCCTTTGCCACGAAAAGAATCTTGCACCTGTCCTTCCTTAAGCGACTCACGTCTAGGCCTGTAGTTGCCTGACTTGCCTGATTGCTGGGAAATTTTTTTAGAAACATGCTCCAAAGCCTTGAGTGCTGTTTCATCCCTAGCGTAACTGGAAACCTTGGCGTGTGTGTCTGAAATCTGTTCGTTGAACAGAGATGAGGAAGACCAAGGTTGACGTAGCAATCTGCGCTTAAACTCTGAGTCCCAAGTAGATAAGGCTAAATAACCCAATCTCCGAGTGACAGTTATTTCTGCCAACTCAGCTTTAAGATGATTCATCATATGGTCAATCTGACGCTGTTGAAAATCAACTATAGTTTGGAGGTGATCTAGTCGGTTAGGATTATCCTCTGACAGATCCTGCTCTACCGCCCGAGTAGAGGATGCTAATGCTGATAAAGGTTTTAATACCCTTCGAATTTCTGTTTCAATAAACGCAACTCTTGTATCCTGAACCTTAAGAGTGGTAGGCCTTGACGAGCCTGTCATTCTCTGTATATCCTCATCCAAACTATGTGCCTGGTTTGCTGCCTCAAAGCCATGAATAGGAAATTCATTTTTCCTAAACCTGGGAGGTCTGAGTGACGGCGTAAGTGTGAGCCTGGAGAAGTCCTCATCCAAAGATCTAATCATATCTGACATCATAGGGTCAATCGGAATCAACGTAGGATGTGTCCAAATAGTATCTTTTTTATCTACCCCACTACCCGGGGAAGGTACTGAAATGAGGCGGTCAGCTACCCAATCAGGTACTTGAGCCAGGCTAAGGTGAGTATTCCATTCATTCGCGGAATCTCCCTCCTCACCATTAGAACCATCTGATGAATCAGAACGATGTTGATGTGTACGTCTTGATGGTGAACGACTTCTACTCCGATGTGCAGTATTACCTCTGACCGAGGGCTAAGATGAACTGCCTGGTGACAAGGAATCATGAGTTGATGTCCAAGTACGGGCAGGTGTACTGGTACTACTCAACGAAGAATGTACTGTATTATGACTCATAATAGGAGTGTTATACACATTAGTCACTGGAGTAGGCGGTAAAATATGTGCCGTAGATGTAGTTGATGCAGGTGTCTGATACATAGGCATAGGCGTAGGCGCAGGATACAATTGTGTCATAGACTGCTGCCACATTGATTGTAGAAAATTTTGCATCCAATTAGTGTTTGGAATTGGCATAGGCGCCTGCGCCTGCGCTTGCATCTGCTTCGCTGGATACGTTGGTACAGCGCTAAGCTGATCGTGCGCTGCTTGCATAATATCATACGCTGATAGCCCTGGGGCTGATGTCATTGTAGAAGCGCTTGGGTAGTAGGACTTGCCTGCGCTCGGCGCAGGCATATGAGACGCAATGCTCAATGCAGCAGACTTGAGTCTAGCTTGGCTTGGCGCTACCCCCGACAACGCATCTTGAGACGCTGGCCCACTGTCTGCAGACGTAACAGATGTAGAATTCTCCAAAGACTGCAAATTAGGTCCAATTATAATACAACCAACATTCTCCGGGAGAGAAGATTCCGGTGGCATGTGCACCTCCGCGGTGACAGTTACGGCCGACCTATTATCCCTCAAAGATAAAGGTTGCGTCGTAATGATTGAATCCTGTCCCTCGCTCATTCGCGATAGAGACATTTTCCTTTTCTCACGACGTGATTGCTGCAAAATATGTTTGTGAGTAACTTGCCAATACCTCGCGAAAATCGTTGGAGAGAGGTTTATACAAAAAACACATTTAGAATTTGGTGCACAAATTTGTGTACACGTCAAACAACGTGGATGAGGATCTTGAATTTATTTATTTTTTTCCACGACAATTAGTACAACGCGCCAAAGCCAAAGCTGGTAGTATTGAAAACAAAATATGAAATATGTTATACATACCTAGCCGATAATTGTAAACAATTGACTACCTTTGCCAAGCAAACAACTGTAACACAATTCAAAATGGCGGGGAACAGATAGCACGTGGCGGGAAAAAAAAAAGAAACGTCTTTTTTTCCGCCTCAAAACATCAAATACAACTTCACAACATGTTGAAAGTAATATGAAAAGAAAACATCACCCATCGCAGAAGAATTTTAGAATGGTAGACGAATTGGAAGGTCTAAATAAATCCAAAAAACGAGAGCTCCGCTGGAAACGTCCTAGCTATGTCGCGACAGGCAGTGATGTGAAGAGTTGACCTTTGGTCACGTGAGGACACAGGGACAGCGACGGCGGGATGTAAAAGTGGGATTACGGAACAGAGCCTTCACCCAAGGACCATCGCCGGTACGCTGTCCCAGGTTTTTTGTCGCAAGATAAGCAGTGAATGCATTAAGGAGTAATGCAGGATAAGTAAAAAATGTATACTTGTACCTTTGGAATCAATGAAATACTCCGTAGTGAAGGAGTTCCAGTGCTTCTTAGTCTTGAGAAAGGGGCTGTTAAAGTCCTGGCTGATCACATGCATGTGAAGGTGGCTGACAACAGAACACATATGTATGAAGGCACACTCTGTGCAGTAGCATGTCCTACTAGTTGGTAAAACAAGCTAAACACACTTCTCAGCTTCATTTTTCCTAAAACAGAATATTTAACTGGAAAGTTGGATGACACAACTGGGTTTTTTTCACATGAGAAAGATTAAAAACGAGATTACACCAGCTTGTGATGAATCTGCCTCAAATCTGGAGCCATGATACAAGATCCTACTGGTAATGCTACAACAGCCCACAGACACTACTTATGAGCAACTTATCAACATACACTTCTTAACCAACACATGCTCCAGTCTTTAATGAAATGCATAGGTCCTGCACAAAAACCCACCTGTGGTCTGTTGGTAGAGCATCTGCCTAGAGATTGGAAGATCTGGGGTTCGACTCCTGAACACATCATACCAAAAGAAGTTATAAGATGCTACTTGTTGTTACCCTGTCTAGCGCTCAGAAATTAAGGACTGGTTGGCTCGGAGTCAGTATACTGTGTCTGAGTGGGGTACTCATGTTAAACTGTGGCATGGTATCTCAGTGGGCTAGATCTAGTAAATCAGCATTAGTCTGGACTAGTAAAAGCAGATGCTCTGTCCACTAGACCACAGAGTTCGTCTTGGTAGAGGGAAGGCCAGTCCACTATCAGTACTAAGTGAACAAAAGTAAAGCTTAACAGCAGTTAGGGTACTATTCTCCTCCAAGCTCAACAAATCTATCTAACATCTGACTACTACTATCTGACATACCTCATGCTGGGGACTGCATGATAGCCAAACCTAAACTGCAGGTTTTTGTCTGCTCTGAAATACAAAGTCCATTTTTAGACAAAACAATGCATGTACATCTATATAATATGTTTTTGTGCTCACAGGCATGAGTGAGTGAGTATGGTTTTACATTGCTTTTAGCAATATTCCTGCAATATCACGGCAGGGGACACCAGAAATGGGCTTCACATATTGTACCCATGTTCAGAATTAAACCAGGCGTGACGATCGACACTTTAACCACTAGGCTACTTGACCACCCTCACAGGCAGGAAGTACAGCATGACGTACAGTAGGACGTGTCTACGGCTTTAGTTACCAGTCCACTTTTCTCTTTTTGGTCTAATAAGCTCAACCAAAAATAGATGTTATAGATAAATCATGTTTGAAACACTAGAATCAAGATGGACAGAAATATTAACAATACACGTATAACCAGATGGAGCCAAAGCAATAGTTTATCCTCTGTGCCATAGCTACATGTCCACTTTCAACCTGGTAAGATTGAGAGGTCAGTAAACCAAGGAAATAGTATTAACATGGCTGCCTAAATGATGTCAACAGTAAAGTAGAGGAGCTACTGACTTTTCTGCAATCTCAATTCCTTTCTTGTGGATGTGTTTAAGGAGGAGTATGTGTTCTGACTTAAGCTTCTTTAAGTTGGCAATCTTCTCTTTGGGCAAAATGAGGAAGTGATGTAGTGCCTGAAAAAATATACATGAGAAATGGACCAATATGATATAGATAAAACCATTTAAGAAAAACACAGCATCACGCACTTGGATGGCTCAGGAGACACTGATAGATACTTGAGGTTCAAAATAAAACTATTATAAACCACTCCTATAAAAGTAATATTAAATCTAATGAACATCTAAAACACTTAACATGCTTAAAGAACAAGGAGATTGATTGTTCTGAAGTATGGTTTGTAAACATAGCTGATAACACCAGAGCAATTACCACGGGAGTGGGCTCATAAGCAGGTCAGGAAGCGCTTTTCTCCCAGGTAATACGTAATACCAGGTAACATGATTGGCTTCAAATGACCAGGGCATTTACATTGTAATCTAGGCTGTTGTAACTAGGCCTTAAAACACACAAGCTTTCTCTTCAATTTGCCTTTAATGAAGACATGTCCGAATTTCTGAGCAGTGCTTGGATTGACAACTTGGCTGTGCGGGGCTCTTTTAAGATGTGTTCGACTTCCTGGCCCTTTAAAGTTAAACTATGGCTGATAAACCCCCAGCTTACTCGCGCTCTGCACGTCTATTTCGCAAGAGAAGTTTCAGCTCCAATGACCACACCGCGGGTGTAGGATTATCACATGTCCAGACTTTAGTCTTGGTTGTAAACCAATGCACTTACTGTAATATAAGGACAGGCGAGCCTAATGAGGTGCATGACACTACAGCTCCACACATGCTTCAATAGCAGCATGTGGAGGATAAATAAGCAAATGGAAATAGTTCTTCATGTTTGAGGATATTTTCTCTATGAAAGAAAAGCTTATATAAAGGTGTAGTGTTGTCAAAAATGAAACATAAAAGACATGAATGTACTGTGTAAGATGTGACGATGTGAGAGAGCACAGATGTATATATCTAGATATGTTTTTTAACAGATCAAGGCTGAGTAGTGATTGGCTTCATACAACCGAGGCATACATACTTTGTAACCTAGGCTTTGATAAACCCTAGCTTCTTAGTTAATCAAGCTGGCAGTTAGTATTTTGTAACTAATTCGTAAGAAAAACACACAAGCTCTATTTTCAATTTGCCTCCAATAAAAAACATGACTGAAGCCAGTCTACTCTGCGCAGTGCTTTTATTGTCAGCTTTGTTGTTCAGTGCTTTATTGATGGGTTTGAGAATAGAAAGTGACATCACACTCGGAAATTATTTCATGCATGATTTAAAAACACACAGAACCGTTGAAGTACTGTCCCATAACATGTGCTGGTTTCTCTTTAGCTTTTACTTATATCTCATGGTTAGAAAGCAACACTTCCATAAGAGAGTCATCTCATAATACAATAATATAATATTGTTTCTCCATATACAAAACATAAACTATATTGCCTGATAATTAACAACATCACTAAGGGCCTAATAGGCACATGCAGGACGCTAATGCAAAAGGACATTTATGTCGAGTTGCTTACCAATACAGAAAGTTTCCAGGGGATAACAAAACCTACTCACATTTGAACCGATGTGCAGATGTCAAAATGTTTTTTGCAGAAATATTGATCTGCTTATATTAGGCTACTGCTAGTCATGTTGAAGAAACAAAATGTACGCAGTCCATCCACCGACAAGCAAAGTCTATCAGGGATTAATAATATATATGTGTATGTACTGTCACGTTTTTGCAGTCGTAATGGGTAGTCGCAATGTATATCTTGTACATATGTAGTCTACATGGTCAGCTGATGGTAGTCAAGAAATAAGGGGGAGTGGGGTGTGGGGTGTGGGGGTTATAGCTAAAACGGCACCTCAGCAAAACGTCACCTGGCGAAAACGGCACCGATTGGCGAAAACGTCACCTCGCCTCAAGCGAAAACGGCTACTATTGCCTGGCGAAAACGGCACCCTATTTTTTTTTTACCTTGGTAAAATAAATGAAATTAAACTTACATGGTCGCTTGCAAACACCAATAATTGTGAAATGTTAAAACAAGTTTACATTAGAAATTAGCCTCTACTCCAACTATATTCCAATTTAGCCTATACGCAACTCAACTTATTGTGAAAACATAACATGCCTTGAAGTAAAATAAATGAAATTAAACTCACATCGTCAACCAATTATAGAGAAATGTTAAAACAAATTTAGGGAGTAGTGCACTTTACCGGGCGCACTTTTTCAGATCCAATTAGCGCTGTGGGGGCTCGAACGCGCTTCGCCGGCTCACCGGCTCTGCTAATTAATGCGTTAATTAGCCTACGCTCTACCACTGGACCACAGGCGCTATCACATGTAATCAGTGCTCGTTTAACAGGTCATTAGAATCCCCATTGACATGCATGCGTAATTCAGTAAACAATGAATTGCGCATGCGTGTGACGTCACTGCCCGCTCTCCCATTCATCTTTTCTTGAAACCACACCCGCAATTGTTTATGTCAACATGACCGACCAATGGGATTAACTGGATTAACGCTTGAAAAGGTAAGAATTTATGGCTAACCCTTGCCCAAAGCCAGCTGACCCTAATGACCGAAAAGGGGTTTTGGATCGTAAAGACGTGTAAGTTTCCCTAAGACCGAAAACGGGTGTTGGATCGTAAAGACGTGTAAGTTTCCCTAAGACCGAAAAACGGGTGTTGGATCGTAAAGTTGTGTAAGTTTCCCTAAGACCTAGAACGGGTGTTTGATCGTAAAGATGTGTAAGTTTCCCTAAGACCTAGAACGGGTGTTGGATCGTAAAGACGTGTAAGTTTCCCTATGACCGAAAACGGGTGTTGGATCGTAAAGACGTGTAAGTTTCCCTAAGACTGAGAACGGGTGTTTGATTGTAAAGATGTGTAAGTTTCCCTAAGACCGAAAACGGGTGTTGGATCGTGAAGCGAGAGTCACCAGAGCTTGAGGCACGGTAACGGTATAACGAGACAGGGGTGGCACTATAGCGCGGTAATTGAGCGGATGGTAGAGCTCGGGCTGCGCCCGGTAAACTGCATTGTTGCCCAAATTTATATAAGAAATTAGCCCCCTTCCAATTTACTCGCCGACTCTGATTGGGAGGCGCAAGTAACTTATAGTCCCTGGTGACTCTGGCAACATAAATCGTTCTTATCGTTATTAAAAACAGAGGTAGCTTTTTTCGCCAGAGAAATCGGTGACGTTTTGCTGAGGTGCCGTTTTAGCCTGCACCCGGGGTGTGGAATCACCTTTGGGTACTTGTCCTTGATAATTACAACTTTATCATCAGCATCGACTCTGAGTTCTGGGTCGTCCATGGACGATAAAAGACCTTGACTCCAGTGACCAGGTGTTCTTTTGGCACCCGGGGCCTCTCCCATTTCTCCTTTCCTCTTCGCACCTGCCGCCATCATTGCGGACCGTCTATTTACACGATATCGTGCAAATGGTGGACCAATGCCGTGCAATATTACACGACTGGAAAACTCCCTTCTCCGCCGTGAGACGCGAACGCTGATTGGTCTATCAATTTCCTACACAACAAACCTGGTTCCCGGTCTCAGTTGCGCTACGCTACATTGTATATTACTCCCCAAAATGTTAACTCTACACCATAGTGAGGGTATCATTTCTAAAAAGATATATCAAAGATAATACAAATTCTTTACTTGTTGATAAAATTGTAATTTCTTCTCTAAACATCTGTGAAGATAAAAAGGTTGTCTACGGTAGATAAACCAGGTATCACAGTTAGTTAAAAGTTTTGCAGTCGTACAGACATGTTGTGAACATAGAGATCATAAATATTTTGAGTAAACATACTTTACCTAATGAGATACTAGTTTTACGAACCAGAATATTTATAGTTTAGTTTTGTTGAACCAATTAAAATCAAAACATAATTTCACCTATTAAAATACTACGAACCTTCTGGTAAAACAAAATTTACGAACTTTCTGTAAAAGAGCAAACAATCTGAAGCAAGCATTTATTTTCCGCGTCGTTATTTACATGCAAAGTATATCACGCGTTGTAGTGGAATATATGTAATGTTATTGCAAAGAATGATGGTGTGTTGTTTGTAGAGCTGTTATTATGCAATCCCCATCCCTTCAGAGAAATGTTCTAAAGGAAATGGGTTTTTAATTACAAATACCAATATATTTTCCTGCATAAAAGCCGACAAAATAAGAAATGAAATGTGTTAATATATTTGTGGTAGCAATGTGTTCGCACAATAGTATTTTGATTAAACTTCACGTTTTTATGTACAGATATTAATCTTTAATGTGTTCCAGGACAATGAAAGTATCATTAAAAAATGAGTTTCGTCCAGTTTCAATGCCTACATAAAGATTCCTATGTAGTTATGCCGAATTAAAATCAAATGTACACCAAGAAATGTGCATCTAACATTCGAAAGATAATATAAATCGTTAATGAATGCTCCATGGATAAGTTCAGGACACTTTTGCTATAACTCCAAGATACACGTCAGAAGCGAATCTGTCTATACAACTTGCGATCTTGGTGAAATCCATGATGAATAATATAATGTAATGTTTGTATGTAAGAATTATTGATTGTTTAAAAACTAATATTTATGAACAATTGTTAATAATTTTAAATGTAAACAAGATATTTTGAAAATATGGCAGTCAATCAGTTCCATATTGTTAAAGCTGTGGCTATTTATACTGAAAAGATCAAGGAGTTAACTCCCTTGGAAAGTGTTTTACGTGCGCTTCAGTTGTGTACCTTACTGATGCAATCGGGTTGTCAAAGCAAGCAGAAACATTTTGTATTGCATACTGTCTGTCTGAAAGTAGTACGTCAAATTGCTGCATGACTTGCCAATCCATTCAAATATTGGAATCCATTTTTAAAAATTAGTAATTTTCCAAACCCATGCACAAAGTTCAAACGCGTATATAGAGGATATAATGAAATTCCCACAAGCGATAAGATATGTATATATATGCTTCTGCTGTGTTCGTAATTTACAATGTATTGATAAATAATGAACGTATCGTCGTAGAGAGATATGTTCTTTAATATTTGGTATCATTTAAATCGCTACAAAGTATATTAAATTACAAGGCATAAGTGTTATTTATTTTTTTTGAATTAATTGTTTTCATATATATTAAAAATGTCGCACAAGCATTACTTAATTTGGAAGATATTAGTTTCAATGTTAGAGTTCGTTTCATAATTGGCAGAAATTTCCGTTCTAAATTTTATAGTTGAACGCATATTCAGTTTGGTTGTTACGCAATGATGGGATCTTTGTTTCATATGTTTACGATCGAAAGGTGCTGAAGATGACCGCACTTCTGTTGCGTAAAACCTTTTTTTGCGTTGACCCAAACGTCCAAAAACCCTTAGATTACATTTTGCTAATCTTGACAAGGTATGATTTGTTGAAAACAGCGTGCACGTTTCCATGCATGTGCGCTACTAGATATTTTGCTCACGTATAATGTCACTGCGAGTATATTACGCATAACTTCCTCAATGGTATATACTGTTCACAATGAAGTAGATCATTATTGTTATAGGGCGTATCAAGATGGAGAAAGTCGACAAATACGTATTATGTGGTACCGAGTTGCATCGGAATGTAAACAGTATAAATTGATTCAAGCTAACTGAACTGAAATAAATACTTAACGTGTCATCGTAATTTAATATAAGTCTATTGTTCCGCTTAAACCCAGGAAACACACTTGTGAATACGTATAGTGTGTGACAAAAACATTTTTGAGTTTTGAAATCCACACAAATTCAGAGATTTTGAATCAACAAGCCAAATTTTGATAATAGAAATTTCAATGAAGAACAATATTAAAATTTGTATTTGGAACTTAAACCAATAATCAGTCATCAGATATATGAATACATAAACCGTTCTTATTAGAATTAAATAGGGCAACTCTGATATGTTATTTAGGTATTTATTTCTTAGCATACGTACACAGTATTTTAGGTTATTGTCATTATGGGATCGCTACAAATTGCGTACTAGTAGATAACTTTTGATACCCCCCCCCCCCATATCATTGAGACACAACGCCTCATCAAGTTAGGATAAATTTGATTGGTCGGTGTTATCTTTGCATTCCCAATCAGAGCCTTTGTCCCTTAACGCCTCCGCTGATTTGTTGACAAACACGAAAAATCGTCTGGTAATGGTTTACATACTTTTGTTTCATCCCCAAAGGATCATGGCATCAGGATACATCAACAACTGATAAGGAGACACAGTTCTATATCACTCATTACCGGATGCTAATCTCTTCAAAATATATACCGTTCTTACTGAGATATTTCTTATTAGGTGCTTTTGATATATATCGTTCGGTTTTCGATCATTCTCGGTAGAAAAGATGGCCTAACGTGTTCCTTCAAGCCCCATGCACTAGAACAGGGCTAGACAGGCCACTAGTTCATTAGTCCAGGACAGGTTGTTTCCTCCCCAATTCTAGTTGTTTTACATAAACCACGAGTCCGATATGAGCTCTGGATTAGCTGGCAATGATCAATTAATGGTGTCGTAGATGTATGTCTACCCCTTAAACTTTGAATTTTACATAGGTTTTAGTTTTCGTTTAGGAAAATCTTAATCAAAACAGTATTATAGTCAAAGTTGGTAATATTTGGCCATGATAAAATATTTTTACGTTTTCTAATCTCTACGTTGAATAAGGAGGGTACATGTAGACAAGATTCAAGAGAATCACATAAATACAACAGTAATAATTAGTTTCTTTGAATACATTCAAAGGATTCCTCATTGAAATTTCTTACCCTTCCATTGGACCTCTTTTGGTTAGTTCTTACTAGAAGTGGACAAGTGGAGAGACCCCATTCCATTATAGCAGCCTATGCTGGACTCATTTCCAAAATGTTTGTGTCTCATTTGAAAGTGTAGAGGATTAGAATATGATTGAATCACTGTTCACCCTCAGAGGGAGACCCTATGGATTTTACCTGATCCAACCCATAGAGCTAGTATTGGTTTCTATGTTTGTAAGCTGTGGGGTTGAAATTGAGGTGTTGCAAGTGGCTGGCTTTACAGAATCAAGAAACCCTGTTAAATGACAATTACGATGTCCCCATCATGGCAAATATTGTTTTGAATCTGTACACTGATGACCAAAAGTTAAACACCTTATCTCCTTTTAGCATTATAAATTACCCAAGTACACATCAATGTTGCAGTATAATATTCATTTTGACTAAATATGTTAACTACATTAAAGAAATAAAAAATAATGTGATAATCTAATTTTTATGATCTCTTGTAAGATTTTATTCATAACAAGTCTCACATTTCTCATGTTTAACAATATGTATACATTTTGATTGATCACATCAAATATTTATTTAAAGTATTCAATAATTCATTCAAATAGACTTTCTATAGTCACCCGCTCTTTGAAGTGAAGGATTGGTAGGCCCTGTTTGTTCCAATCATGTCACAACACATATTTAAAGTACAATGTTTGGAATTTAAAGATGAATACACTTAACATATAAATGCATTTCAGCTTATAAATGTAATATTTTCTTATCACAATAGTAAAAAAACAATAATAGGAAAAATAGTCTCCTCAGTGCAATGTACACCCTTTGTATTATGACTAAAACAATGCTCATCTTTTACCAGGCTGTGATGGCAAACTTCCCCTAGGAATTGTCTGAGGTGGACAGGAGGGGAGGTTTGAGATTCCAGCTGAGAAGTTGTCAACATGGCTGAATCTTCCTCTACCCCAAGACTTAGTTTCATTAGTCGCCACGAAGCCAGTGCAATAAGTCACATGACTGACCTTAGTCGCTGGTCCATCTTCAGTATTCTGGAACCAGATGTCCTAACTTCTATCAAGAAAGTGTGTGTTTTTGGTAGCTCTGGAAATGAGGCTATTTTCCTGACTGATGATGATGATGTGTATGCCATTGGCTCCAACTGCAGCAGCTGCCTGGGACTAGGTACAGGAGTGAAAGGAGGAGGATTACTCTTTTGTCTCCTTATTAAGTTCTGTGATTTCAAATTTCCAGCTTATTGTTGGTTAACTCACACTTTCACTGACAGTTGAAATTTCTATGAATTGTTTTATTTCCTAATCATGCTGATAGGAAATTCTTCTTTTGTATTCTTTATCAGTAATATCACTCCATCAAATTGAAACATTCATTATGGACATTTCAGAAAACTATCTGCCAACAAGATCAATGCCCTATCTAAGACTTTGGCTGAGTCGATCCTAACACCTATTAGCAGTTTAAACATAGAAATCTGCTACAGTAAACTATGGTTATAACAAACTCAAAGGGACCAGTAATTTTAATTTGTTGTAACCATAGGTCGTTATTAGCAAATGGACGGGATCAAGAAATATACTGAAAAACAAAAGTTCCTGTGACATTGAATAAGATTTAATGCAAAGTTATGTTTTTTACCAAATCTGAAACAATTTCAGTTTGCAACAGATCAAAGACTCCTGTAAGTGTTCAAATGGTTTAATTTGCCATACTGACTTTTAAAAATGCGTGATTTCATAAAAAAAACATGAACATACCAAAATGTCAATTTACAAATCAATAGTGTGTGTCCAACTCTGGTTGCGATGCAAGCAACACATCTTCATCTCATGGAATGGACCAGGCGTCGCACAAAGCCCTGTGGGATATCTGTCCATATCTGCTGGAGCATGTTTCGAAGTTCCTGGAGTGTCTGTGGAACACGTGGTTGACGTCAAAGGCGCCGATCCATCCCACATTTGCTCGATTGGTGAGAGTTCAGGGGAGTGAGCCGGCCAGGGGATGACATTCATGTTGTTTTGTTGAAGAGAATCCTGAACAAGTTGAGCAATATGAGGCCGGGCGTTGTCATGTTGAAAGGTAAAGCCTGGGCCATGACGACGCAAAAACGGTAAAACAACAGGGCCGATGATCTCGTCGCGGTAGCGCTGTCCATTGAGGTTTCCCTCTACCACTATCAAATGGGTCCTCTGTCTTGCTGTAATCCCACCCCATACCATAACGCTGCCACCCCCGAACCGATCTTCTTCCATGACACAATGATTGACGTAAAGTTCACCTCGACGTCTGTACACTCGAATCTGTCCATCGCTGTGGCTGGGGTGAAAACAAGATTCATCAGTGAATAGAACTTGTCCCCAATGCATCGCTGTCGAGCGTAGATGCTGTCTGCACCACTGTAGATGTGCTTGATGGTGGTTTCCTGTCAAAATTGGACGTCTGACGGGTCTTCTGGTGACAATCCCTGCACATCTGAGGCAACGGCATACAGTTTGTGAAGATATTCATCGAAGGCCAGGGATGCTTCTTGCAGTCACTGTTGCTGGCTGGAATAGATTTTGTAGGTGTGTTGTTCGAATCCAGTTGTCTTGTCGATTATTGGTTACGCTTGGCCTGCCACTCCAAGGATGGTCTCTCACTGCATTCGTCTGTTGCCAACGTTGCCATAAACACCAAATGGTGTTTCTGTGGACGTTGAATTGTCTTGCAACATAACGTTGACTCGATGCTGCTTCAAGCATACCAATGGCTCGCAGACGCTCATTTTCAGACAGGTGTGGCATTTCGTAAAGTTGAATAATTGCGTAGTTTTGTTGTTTTTCTGAGTGGTTGTTGTCAGCACGATGCTAAACAATGCATATGGAATCCCATTAACACACATGTTTTTATACCCATTCTTGGGTAGTGAAATGCATGGGACTTGCATAAAAGTCAACTTTTGCATGGAATGCATGCTTTTCTGTAGCAGTTGCGTTTTTGTGACTTGATTCCATACATGTACTACGATATTGAGAACCAAACTTAACTTGTTTGAAAAATACACTAAACTATTGGTGTCACACGAACTTTTGTTGTTGAGTATAGTTTGTTATATCTGCCAGTTCATTATTATCGTGTTCGTTATAAACATAGTTTACTGTGTGTTGATGACATCTCTAATAATGAAGTAAAAGTGTCAGTTCTTATCCCCTAAGCAGACAGAATACATGCAGATTGTGTCCAGTTGTTAAGAACAGTGTACATGGTGTCTGCCTTTGTTCCTCAGGTGACACCCACAGTAGTTTCACTCCCAGGAAGATTGAGGGACTCTGTAAGAAGAAAGTTGTTGACATTGCTTTTGGGAGTGGACCTCATGTTCTGGCAGTCACTGAAAGTAAGTGTACACCAATGTTTGAAAAGACGAGATGTTTTGTGCAGTTTCACAGGAGGCTGTGCCAGTGATCATATATTTCTAGAGAAACGAGGTTCAGGCTACAGACAAACAACACTTTACTTTCTTACAGTGCTTACTCCAACTTTATAGTGAAAATGAATCTTCCAAGGAATGATTACCCCAGCTCCGTCTCTTTTCATGCAAGGGTCAAAATACGATGTCTAGACCAAGACTAGATGATAGAGCTCAGTTTGCCTCGAGTGATGAATGCAGCTATAGATGACTGACCATGAAATGAGGACACTCAACTTGAATGGTTGACCAGCCACTTATCACATGTGTACCTATTCTTTTATAGATGTGTAATTGTTTATGAAGAGGATTTATTGACGGTCAGAACAGATGCCCTGAAACATATAATTCAGAAATAAATATACACATAAATATATGTATATGTGCGTAAATATACACAGACATAAATATGTAAGGGCACATCACATGCAGTCATATGTTATGTTCATTCACATCGTCACACGACATAGAAATAGCTAGATAGAACTCATGTTTTTAACGAATACGTTGAAGGATGTGTTATTTGGATCCCTTTACATGTGTAATGATATGATAAATATAATTAGTGATTATATTAATACAAAAGAAAAATACAAGCATACACTGTAGGTGAAACTGGGGCGCAAATTGAGTTCACCAAACACAAACCGACAGGACTATGATGCTTGCATCTAAATGCAAATATAAAGACAAATACACTCACTTAGTTAAAACGGGTAATCTTAGAAAACATGAATTATGTGTTACACATAACAAACCTATGAACGCTTTACATTATACATATATAACACAGTTAGAAGCCAACACATACATGATAAATACATACGCATTCGCTCACTCATTCTCAAATGAAAGATTTAGGAAAGGTGAAGATATACAGTGCTGGATTTCTGTCAGAACGTACTGACCTAGTTAAAACGTTTGAATGGCTGTTAGGACAATATCAAGAGATGAAAATATGACACAAAGCAAATGTTGTGTGTTGTCAGCTTGGTCAAGGTGTAGTGGCTGGTGTGCTGGTTAAATGCTGGTCGTTGTCAGCTTGGTCAAGGTGTAGTGGCTGGTGTGCTGGTTAAATGCTGGGTGTTGTCAGCTTGGTCAAGGTGTAGTGGCTGGTGTGCTGGTTAAATGCTGGGTGTTGTCAGCTTGGTCAAGGTGTAGTGGCTGGTGTGCTGGTTAAATGCTGGGTGTTGTCAGCTTGGTCAAGGTGTAGTGGCTGGTGTGCTGGTTAAATGCTGGGTGTTAGTATTTTAGATAAGGCTGTATAATAGCTTTGTTTAATAGCTGTATTAAACAAAGGACCAACCGAAGCTACCTACCCTACCCCACAGCTAGTAGTTAAATAAAAGAAAAATCCACTCAGAGATTGTCATTATTCTGCTTCAGTGCTATAGAATACAGCAGCCATACAGATTTATTTAACTTAATGCAACACAATAAAAGGTTAAAACATCATTTCATTACAAAACATTATATGTATACAAATATATAAAATACAGAAAACACACATATATATATACAACACTGCCAGAGATGGACGACTACATGTATGGGAGCAAAGGCTTAAAATGGCTGTTGTATAACAGCTCTGTGCTACAAATGTTGACAGAAAGCATACTGGCATATATGTGGCTAATCTGTTCAGTATTAGTGTATTTGTTGTAGATGGAGACGTCTTCAGTTGGGGACATAATGGCTACTGTCAGCTGGGTAACGGAGGCTCTAATCAAGGGTTCCAACCAGCCATTGTCAACACAAATCTTCAGGGAAAAAAAGTTTTTCATGTGGCATGTGGCAGCCATCATTCCATGGCACTGACACATGAAGGGGAGGTAATCCCAAAACTTGTTCTATCTCCCACTCTGTATCTTTCCATATATGTCAGAAACCGTGAACCTATACATGTAAGCATGCAGTATCCATAGTAACATGTGTTTTTCTTTTGTGTGTAACACCTTTGACCCTACTGACAGGTTTAGAACTTAACACTAGCCCAATAGCCCGGGACTGTACAAGTTCCAACAGGTTAGTACAAATGTCCCAATTGTTTTCAACGTTACAAGGGCATTTTCCTTTACTTGGGCTTTTGAGTTGAGTTGTCACCCTGCAGGGCCTACTGTGGCCTGGCCTGACTCATCTTGCAGTGCCATATGTCAGTCCCAACAATAGCACATAGATCATGCTGACAGTACTAGTCTGTAACATAGACTGTAAATCTTGAAATTAATGGGAGCGTGAATTAAATGCCAAAAATGCGAGTGGTCTTTGTTCGCATTAATGAAACTTAGAATTTATGTCTCAACTATCAACAATAAAACGGCCTCACTGCACACTTTGGATAGCGGTTACTTACTATTGGAGATTTAATGTGTGCTTTCCGACATTATGCATATTTCGCACTCAGGCCCGCCAGGCCATTTAGTGAGATTGCCAAGGATAGCGGACTGACTGACTGAGGTTGGGGATTTTACGAGCGCTTTCCGACTGCAAGCGTATGTCGCACATGGGCCCGCCGGGCCTATTAATGTATTTGCCAAAAAATATGAAGGAAGGGATTTGTGCAACCCAGGAGTGGGGTTCAGGGGTTGCTAATATAGGAGTTTTGAAATTTTGAGATTTGGAATGAATGCCAAGGTGGGGGAGAGACTAAGGTGTGAGTGTTGTATGAGTTGTTTGGTTTATTGATTATTTTTTAATATTTTTTTTGGTGGTATTTGGGAGTTATATTTGGTTAATTAGATCTGTTTTTATTAGGTATTTGCCTAGGGCTTTAAAGTTGGATCTGTTATTTAGTGGGTTTAAGATTTGTTCTAGAGTTAACTCATAGTTTAAGTTTAGTTTGTTTTGTAGTTTGGGCAGTGGATGAGTACATGTTCTGTAGTTTCTTTTTGAGTGGGCATGTGCCTGTTGCGTGTATTTTTAGTGTTTGAAGGTGGCTGTTTAGTTTGGTGTGACCTGTTTGTAATTTAGTTATGGCCCTGTCGAGTTTGGCTTTATTTAGGTTTTTTTGGAGTATTTTTTTGAACTGACAGTTTGAGTTTTTGTATTTTGTTTGCCATTTTTTTTAGATTTTTTGTTTTGTTATGCTTTTAATTTCTGATTTGGAAATTGGCAGATTTAGACTTATTTCTGTGAGTTTTAGTGAAAGTTTAGCTGCTTGGTCTGCATGTTCATTACCATAACTTCCTACATGTGTGGGTATCCAAACAAATTCTATCTGTTTGTCTGCTTTTGTTAGTTCATTAGAGCTTTTTAGTATTTGATTAATTAATTTGGGGCGTTTTTTCGTGTTTTTTATTAGGGCCTGGAGTTACATTGAGGGAGTCTTTGAGGATGAGGATGTTTTGGTGGGTTTTTATTTGTGGGTTGTGAAGGGCTGTGGCCATACCCATGAGTTCGGCCATAAAGATTGATTGATTATTGGTGAGTCGGTAAGAATTTGTTTGTTTTAGAGGTTGAGAGATGTGGACGCCAAAGCCAGTGTGTTTTGAGGACGGATCAGAGGATCTGTCTGTGTAAATGTGGCACCAATTTGGCCATTTCTCATTGGAGTGTGCTAATGAATTGTTTTTAGCGATGTTTGGATCCGTTTGTTTGTATAGCGTGGAGGCAAGTGTGGTGTCTATCGAAAGCTTTGGAGAAGTCTAAGAAGATACCTATTGTGTACTGTTTGTTTAGTTGTCCTGTTTTTATGTCCTGCTCTAGACGGACGAGGTTACAGCGGCCTGGAGTGAAGCCGCGTTGGTCTGGATTAATTATATTGTTTTGTTCTAAGAAGTGTTAAAACCTATTTTTGACCATTGCTTCCATAACTTTGCATAGGTTTGAGATTAAGGAGATGGGTCTGTAAGAGTTGGCCTGGTCAGCAGGTTTATTCGGTTTGGGGATTGGAATGACCAGAGCTTGTTTCCATGTTGTTGGGACCTGGCCATTTAGGAAGATTAGATTGTAAAGTTTTAATAGTGTTTTGAGGAGTTTTGGGGGGTGTTGTTTGATTATTTGATATGAGGTTAGGTCTAGTCCTGGGGCTGTTCCTTTTGTCCAGTTGTTGATTACGTGGAGCATCTCCTCCATTGTGTATGGGTGGTTTATTTCTAGGTTATCGTCTTTTGGTAATTTGGAAAATTTACTTTCTGCTTTTATCTGATCTTGAAATTTTTGGCTGAAGTTACTGTTGCTGCTTCCTGCCGAAAAGTGGTTTGCTAGGTTGTCAGCTTTTTGAGAGGGGGTTGTTGATTTATTTATGTTGGGAGTTTTTTTCTGCATTTTATGTCCCTAATGGCGTGTATTTTGTGCCAGACTGTTCTGGCATCTGCATGGTGATTAATTTCCTCGCAAAATGTTTTCCAGTTTTTGGTTTTGGCTACTCTGATTAAGCTTTGTACTTTGTGGTTTAGTTCATGTGCTATTTTTAGATGTTTGTGGTCATGTTTGGCTTTGTTGAATGCGTTTTTACGTTTTTTCCTAGTTGTTTCTATTTCTTCGTTCCACCATGGTACTGATGGTTTGCCTATTTTAACTGTTTTAAATGGGATTGAGTTTTTGGCAGCGGTAATTATGTAATCTGTAAGGTTTTTGCAGTAAGTTTCGGGGTTGTTATTTTCTAGGTCAGCCTAGGTTTGCTTGGTCACAGATTTCCCTGAATTTCTTCCAGCTGGCTTTGTTGTATTGGAATTTTGGTTCCTGATTTTGGGTTGGTTTTTGGATGTTAATATCCCCTACTTTATGTTTATGGAGAAGTGGTCGCATCCTAGTGGTTCTTCATGGACTTCCCATTGTATGCTTTGGGCTAGGTCGGATGTGCATATGGTTAAGTCGATAGCCTACATTTTATGGGTTGGTTATCGTTTAGTAGTACCAGGTCGTTTTGTTCTATCCATTCTGAGATTAGTTTTCCAGGTTGATCTATTTTGTCTGCTACGCCCCAGGTTGGGTGGTGGGGATTGAAGTCCCCTAGGAATATTGTGGATTTTTTGCCTACATGGATGAGAATATCTAAATCTTCAGGTCTCATTTGTTTTACAGCCCAGTGGTATATTATTGATGATATTCTTTTGTTTTTTGTTATTGGTTATTTGTATACCGTTTGCTTCTAGATTAGGAGTGTTTACTTTTAACTCTTCATAGTTGATGTCTTCCCTGATGTATATGATAAAGGAAGGCCGCCACTGGATTAGTTTTGGCACGATGGAGTCTAACACAGTTGTAGTTTTGGAGGTTGACTTTAGATATAGCAGAGAATTTGATTTCCTGTGTGCACATGATGTGTGGGCCTTTGTTTAATTTAAATTTAGTTTGCAATTCATGGCCATGGGAGGTTAGCCCGTTGGCATTCCACAGAAAGATATTTAGACCTTCCATTATTGGGGGCTGAGTGGTTGTTGTTTACTTTTTAATCATAATTTTGATTTATTTGGATACTTCCTTTAGGTGGATGATGAAGAGGTCAAATGTTAGTGTTGTCAGTTTAAGTTTGTGTGCTACTGCGTGGAAGGATTTTACACTAGCATTGGGGGAGTTTTGTTTGTGCATGTAAGCTAAGAGGATTGTGAGATTACTTAAGTATTTAGTGCTGGTAAGTTGGGTAGTTTTGCGTTTAAAGAATTTAGTTGTTTTAGGGGCTGAGAAGGTTACTTCGTTTATTTCTTCTGTGGTTGTGTATTCATCGTCTTCGTGTGTGTTTAGTTTAGTTGTTTGTGTCTCCATGGGGGTTGCTTGTGTAACGGAAGTTTACACGCTACACTCGCCACAACCGGAACAGGAAGTTACCTTGGTTCATACGGGTGTTTCGAACATCCGGGTTTTGGAAAAGGGATATTTAAGCACGTGCGTGCCGCACGAGCTTCAGTCAGCGTCTGGCTCCGGGGACAGGCTTGCCGGAATCTGTACACACGTGCGTTCGGTATGGTAAGATAATTGCATTAGTAGTAGTTTGTTCTTTTTATTTGCCCAGTCACACCATTATTTTTTCTTTATGGGTAGGTTATCATGTTTGTTATAATGGGATAGATTTAGCACGTAGCTTTGTAATATTTTCTGCTGGAAATTGTGTGCCAGTGTTGTTTAGGCTAAAGAAGTTTCAAAACTTTGGACCCGGTGTGTCAACCGAGAGTGTATTAGATATGTTCGAGGACTGTGAATAGTGAAAGCGTTTGACGCCTCTGTGTCTATCGTTCGACCGAGTGTGTTCGATATGTTCGAGAACTGTGAATAGTGAAAGCGGTTGACGCCTGTGTGTCTATCGTTCGATATTGAGAATACTTCCATTGGTGTGTAAACCGTTGTCTGAACATGAAACACATGTATACTGGTCGAGAATACTTCCATTGAGTTGTAAACCAGTTTGTGTAGAAATTTGTAACACATGTATACTGGTCGAGAATACTTCCATTGAGTTGTAAACCAGTTTGTGTAGAATACTTCGGTAATACTTCCATTGGTGTGTAAACCGTTGTCTGAACATGAAACACATGTATACTGGTCGAGAATACTTCCATTGAGTTGTAAACCAGTTTGTGTAGGAATTTGTAACACATGTATACTGGTCGAGAATACTTCCATTGAGTTGTAAACCAGTTTGTGTAGAATATTTCGGTAATACTTCCATTGGTGTGTAAACCGTTGTCTGAACATGTAACACATGTAGACTGGTCGAGAATACTTCCATTGAGTTGTAAACCAGTTTGTGTAGGAATTTGTAACACATGTAAACTAATCGGGAATACTTCCATTGGTGTGTAAACCGTTGTCTGAACATGTAACCCATGTATACTGGTCGAGAATACTTCCATTGGTGTGTAAACCGTGTCTGAACATGTAATGCATGTATACT